CAAGAAGGAGCATATGTAGGTCACTTACACGTCTTGAATTTAGACAGACTGAGTTTACGTAACTATTTTACAAGCAAGTTCTGGAGAAACCCTGACTGTCCCAATTTTTTGCTTTTTAATGAGTTTCTTGATATAAAAGAAAATCATACCACCAATTAGAAGGATGGCTGTTCACCTTGTGGCCCTATTTGTGTGTGTGAACCTCGCTGTGAGTTAAGCATGCGCTGACAGTTCACTTCTCAGCCCACCCCTCTCAAATTTCCTGGGAGAGGCTGTTGAGCTAACAGTGAGATTCAGGACTGTAAGAATCATTTTCTTAGTTATAATTAACGGAGTCCTGGAGGAAAAGCACTCCACCATAAGATCGGTTTGAACCGCAAGACTGATGGCTCAAACTCACAAGCTGCTCTTCAAAAACCATATACAGGGTCGCTATGAGTTGAAATCGATTCGGCACCCCTTAAACTAACATCTACAACTCAATTAATAAAAGTGGAAAGTACTTCTAAGCCCGATTCCAACCTATTGCCATGAAATCACTTCTGACTCTTAGTGACTGGAGGATACAGGAGAACTGCCCCATGGGGATACCAAGACTTTTCATCTGTATGGAACCAGACTGCACCATCTTTCTTCTGAGGAGTGGCTGGTGGGTTCGAACTGCTGACTCTTTGTATAGGAGCTGAATGCTTAAATACTATGATCCCATAGCTCCTACACTCAAGCCACAATGTATAATTCTCTAAGCGTTGATTGAACATTTATTATGCTCTGACCCACCTCATGGTACCATGGAAGAAAAGACCTGGCCATCTGTTTCCACTAAGATTACAGCCAAGAAAAGCCTATAGGGCAGTTCTACTCAGTAATGCATGGGGTTGCCAGGCTTCCAAACTGACTTTATGGCAACCACCAGCCAAGCAGCCGTGACCTAAGGTGGGGCATTGCTGCTGTTGTCAAGTGCTGTCGAGTTGATTCCAACCCATAATAACCCTGTATAGGGTTCCCGAGAAGCAGGTGGTGAGTTTGAACCATGACCTTGTGGTTCAAACTGACCTTGCAGTCCAGTGCATTAACTCACAGTGGCACACCAGGACCAGAAAGGAAGTTAGGGAATCACCCAATCCTGGTTTTGCCTAATGCTATGCCTATGCCCTTTCCTTGCCACAGAGCACATAGACACTAGCCCCCTGCCCCCAGGTCAGAACCAAAAGCAAACGCATTGCCATCGATTTTGACTCATAGTGACCCTGTATAGAGGTTGTGGAGGTGGTAAATATTTATAGGAACAGAAAGCCTCTTCTTTGTTCCGCTGTGCAGCATCTGGTGGGTTTGAACAGCCAACCTGTGGCTAGCAGTCCCATGCTTATCCTGCAGCGTCATCAGAGCATCTCAGGCCAGCTGAATCTTAAAAGGCTCCCTTCCTTCTCACTTCAAAGACCCTGGTCACCACACAAATGCACGTGTCCAGAGGACAGAGTGGCTCCCTGGGAAACCGAGGCTCACCAGGAGCTCGCCTGGGTCTATCAGGGAGGATTCAGATCAGCTACATGAATTCTGCTTTTGTTTTTGACAGCTGCTGCTTTAAAATTCTTACTTAATGAGAGTGTTTACTTTTCCCTGAGTACATGTAAATTTCCTGCCTCTTACCTGTCATTTTCATGGAAAGCGCAGTAAGTGATAATCAAGGAAGAAGACTGATTTTAAACAAATCATTATAATTGAGAAAAGTCGTGTAAACAATGCCCTCCTCTCAACTTACCAGTAGCTTTCCTCTATTGTAGATTTAAGGTCGTTGCTTAAATTTAGTTGCATTGTTTTTAAATTTAAAAAGGATATGCTTATGGTTTTATATATATATATATATATATATATATATGTTGTTGTTAAATGCCATGGAGTTGGTTCCAACTTGTTGTTGTTAGGTGCCATCAAGTTGGTACCGACTCTTAGCAACCCCTGTGCACAACAGAACGAAACACTACGCGGACCTGGGCCAACCTCACAGTTGTTGCCACGCTTTAGCCCATTGATGCTGCCTGCCCCTTTGCCAATCCATCTCGCTGAGGGTCTTCCCCTTTTTCTCTGACCCTTACCAAACATGATATCCTTCTCCAGCAACTGTTCCCTCATTGAAATAGGTCTGAAGTATGAGAGACAAAGTTTGGCCATCTTGGCCTCCAAGGAGCACTCTGGCTGCACTCTTCCAGCACAGATCTGTTGGTTCTTTTGGCAGCCCATGGCACTTTCAATATTCTCTTCCAATACCATAACTCAAAAGCATCAATTCTTCTACGATCTTCCTTATTCACTGTCCAGCTTTCGCATGCAAATGAGGTTATTGAAAATACCATGGCTTGGGTCAGCTGCACCTTAGTCCTCAAGCTGACCTCTTTGCTCTTCAGTTCCAACTCTTAGTGACCCTGTATAGGGTTTCCAAGAAGGAGCTGGTGAGCTTGAACCACCGACCTTGCAGATCAAACTAACTTTGCAGTCCAGCACATTAACCCACAGTGCCACACCAGGATTCCAGATATATATGAAGGACTTCAAAAAGTTCATGGAGAAAATTCCATTCTTTCAATTTCAATTTTTAAAAGCATGTGTGTATGTGAGAGATAATTATACGAATTCAACGGTTTCACTCCCTTGTTGACACAGTTTGGTGGTTTCTCTTGACCTTTAGGTTGAAATCCAAAGGCCTGATCATGCTTTGTAGGTCTTGGTGGTGTAGCCCCTCCATCCTCTGCCCCCTCTCACCTCCACTCTCTTTACTCTGCACTCTGGCCTCTTCTGGCCACACCCCTTATGCATGGCTGGCCCATCCTGTCCTTCCAGGTACAATAGCATAGCCCCTTCCGGGGGAGTGGCTTCCCTGCCCGCCCAGCCTAATGTTGCCCACCCCCCCAGTCTCTGTGTCTTAGCTTCCTAGGACTCACTTACAAAATAACCACAAAGCCAGTGGCTTTAGAGAACAGAAACCTATTTTTTCATGGTTCCAGAGGTTTAAAGTGTAAATCACAGTCTCAACTACATTGATCCCTTCTGAGAGCTTCTAAGAACTTCCAGAAGAACTGCCCTGTGCCTCAATCCTAGCTTCTGTGTTCAGCCAACAACCCTTGGTGTGTCTTGTCTTGTAAGTGGATTGCCACATGGTGTCCTCCTTCTTAGTCTTCCCCTGTTGTGTGTCTGCCCTTCTCTTTTATAAAACACCATTCAGAAGGGATTATAGTTAGGACCCATTCTACTCTTGTATGATTCCGGTAACTGGAAACCTCTGAAAAGAAAAACCCTCTCTTCCCTAAGCAAGGACACTGTGGTTGATGTGAGGGTTAGGACATCATCTTGATTTTGAGGGGACACAGTTCAGTCTCCGTGCACTCACATGACTTTATGAGCATGCTCCTAGAGTCCCTTGAATGACAGAAATGGGAAGGTGCTCAACTGCTGCTAGCCAAAAGGTGGCTGGTTCAGAGCCATCCAGAGGCGCCTCGGAAAACAGCCTTCCGAACAGTCACAAGTTTGGGAGTGCTATGGAGCACTTCAGCGCTGAACACATAGTGTCACAAGGAGGAACTGACTTGATAGCAACTAATAGCTCCACCTTAAGGGTGTTAATATAAGTGTAACTCATAACTCAAACCAAACCCATGGCTAGCAAGTTGTATCTGATTTCTAGCGACCTTATAGAACCAACAGATCCATGTTGGAAGAAGTGTAGCCAGAGTGCTCCTTGGAGGCCAGGATGGCCAAACTTTGTCTCTCATACTTCAGACATAGTGTCAGGAGGGACCAGTTGCTGTAGAAGGATATTATGTTTGGTAAGGTAGTAGGTCACAGAAACAGAGGACGACCCCCAACAAGATGGATTGGCCAAGTGGCAGCGTTGATGGACTCAAGCGTGGCAACAGTAGTGAGGTTGGCCCAGGATCGGGCAGTGTTTTGTTCTGCTGTGCATAAGGTCACTATGAGTCAGCATTGACTCGATGGCACCTAACAACAACAACATAGGACAGTCTTGGTGTAATGCTGAAAGATAAGCACTGGATTCCTAACCACAAGGTCAGTGGTTCAAAACCACTGTTCTTTGGAAACCCTATACAGGGTTACTGTGAATCAGAACTGACATGAAGGTACGTAACAACAACATAAAATTCGAATAAGCACCGGATTGCTGAGCATCAGGTCAGTGGTTGAAACCCACCAGCCGTTCCTTGAAAAACGTATACAAGGAAGGTTGCTATGAGTCAGAACTGCCTTGACCTCACTTAACAGCAATGACAACATAGGACAGAGTTGGCCTAGTGGGTCAGCAGTTAGAATCCACCGCCACTCTTTGAGGGAAAGGTGAGGATTTCTGCTCCCATGAAGAGTCACAGCTTCAGAAACTCTATAAGGTGATAGGTGTTGGAATTGATTGCACGACGGTGGATTTATAAGGCAGATTTGAGCCACCCCCATAACATTGTCACATCTTCCTCCTGAAGAGTAGCTGGTAGGTTTGAACCACTGATCTTTCATTTACAGCTGAGTGCTTAACCACTGCCCCACTCCTGCTTCCTGCCATTGAGTCAATTCCGACTCCTAACGACCTTTTAGAGCAGGGTAGAACGGCTGCATAGCTGTCCAAGATGATGCATCTTTCTGGAAGCAAAAAGTCTCATCTTTCTCCTGTTGAGGGAGGGTAGATTCAAACTGCCAGCCTATTGGTTAGCAACCCATTTAAACCTCTGCAGCACCAGGGTTTCATAAATCATAGCAAGCTGATTACAGAGCTGGTGGTGGTAATGTTTAGTGCGGTTGCGTCAGTTCCAACTCATAGCAACCCTGTGTAGGGTTTCCAAGGAACAGCTGGTGGGTTTAAACCACCGACTTTGTGGTTCAAACCCACCTGATGGTCCAGTGTCTGTACCAAAGTGTCACACCAGGACACCAGCATAGTCTTGCAAAAAGTGTTCAACTAAGTATAATTTAAAATGTTTTTATTCTAATTTTTCAGGTTGTCCTTGCTGGAAGGAACCATGAATTGGCATTTTCCATTCTTCCTCTTGGCCACGGTGACTCTTCCTTTAGTCTGCTCCAAGTTCAACCCACTTTCTCTCGAGGAGCTTGGCTCCAACACGGGAATCCAGGTTTTCAACAAGATCGTCAAGTCCCGGCCTCATGAGAACATCGTCATTTCCCCCCACGGGATTGCATCGGTCCTGGGGATGCTTCAGCTGGGGGCTGATGGCAGGACAAAGAAGCAGCTCACCATGGTGATGAGCTACGGTGTGAAAAGTACGTGCCCCCCAGCCTCACTGGCCAGCAGCCATCTCTGGGACGCCAGCATGGCAAGGGTCATTGCTTGGTCTTAGATTCTAGCCCAAGAAGCCAAGCAAGTTGATGGGGCGTTTACTGGTGTCAAGTGGGGTTTAGGGCCCGACAGACACTGAGGTAATAGAAGTAAAGAGAACTGCATTCTGGTCTCTGCGGCATAGCGAGGCACCATTGAGTTAGTCACTTGATCTTTCAAAGTTCCATTTTCATATCTATAGGAAGAAAGTACTTTCTGCCAGACCCACTTATTCGATTATTGTTGTTAAGTGCTGTTGAGTCACTTCTGACTCACAGTGACCCTGAGTTTCCAAGGAGTGGCTGGTGAGTTTGAACTGCCGACCTTGTGGTCAACCGACCTTGTGCTTCTTCTACAGTACCACACAGTGCTAGCTCAAAGTGCATTGTAGTTGTTAACGGTGTCCTACTTAGGGTTCTCTAGAAAAACAACCAGTGAGACAGGTGAGGGAATTTCAGAAGGTTCAGAAGGTTCATGGAAAAATGGAATGAAAAGATAATGGAATTGTTCCATGAATTTTTTGAAGCCCCATCATATAGAAAGATTTACTTCGAAAATTTGGTTCATATGATTGTGGGACTGGGAAGTCCAAAATGTGTAACTCTGGTAGCAGGAAGAGCGCGGAGGGGAGACAGAGACTGAGGGAGAACTCAGCTAACATATTAATTTATAGTCTCAAGGCAAACCACACCTTAAGAACCCTCCCCTTCCAACTGATTGGTTGATTTTATTAGACTGCAGCGATTGAAGGGGCTTACATAGCATTTCATTAGCTGATGTTATTGTTGTTAAGTGCTGTGGAGTGATTCTAACTCATAGAGACCCTGTATAAGATTTTCAGGGAATAACCGGTGGGATTGGACTGCTGACCTTGCGGTTAGCAGTGCAGTGCTTTTGAAATAAGAAATAGTAGATAGAATGTTTGGCAGAACCACTGGGAACCACAGTATAAGCAAGTTGACACATGAATTAGCCATCTGAGAGGTGCTTTTGAAAGATGTGAGCTGGGAGGGCAGCCTTATTGGGTATCTAAGGTTGAATGGAGTCCTGGTGTGGCGGTGTAGGATAAAGTACGAGATCAAAAGATCAGTTTGAACCACAGGGTCAGCAGTTCAAGTCCACCAGCCACTCCTCGGAAATTCTTTACAGGGTCAGGTCACTCTGTTGGTATTGACTCAACGGCACTTAACAAAAACAATAACAGTCTTTACAGAAATGGACTGACACATCTTTCTTCTACAGAATGGCATTTTGGTTCGCAGTCAAGCAGTTAATCACTGTAAGACTAGGACTCCTACAACCAGTCCGGTACTTACCAACCCACTAACATTAGCCATCACAGTGGCCAAATCACTTTTCACATCTTGGCTGTTAGTTCCTTGTTATTGTTGTTGTTATTTGGAAAAAGAGAGAGTTTACCTACTTTTCACATCTCAGCCTTAGTTAATATTCCTGGAAAAAGAGGGAGTGTACCCCCAGTCATCCACCCCTGCAAGACAGAGTCATGAGAATCTCTAAGTCAACATGATGGCTGCATTGATGTTTGGTGGGAATAGAGGTAGGGATGGACTTAAATGTCTCACCACTTTGCATTTCAGCGGAGTTCGCTGCCTCACTGCCCTGTCCTATCTAAGCCACATTCAACTTTGCATCAGCTTGCAGTTTATTCACCTGTTGGAAGCATGGAAGGACTAAATATTTGGGACAAACTGTTCCACCCCTTGCTTGGAAGTTCAGAAAACATTTGGTGATTTATAACTACTAAAATTTATGATCTTTCCTAATGCAATCTAGGCCCCGTCAACCATTGCAGTTCCAAAATAGCAACTGTATTTCTGTTGTTCTAATGCTAAGCCACATTAATTTTAAGTCAGGACTTGCAAAGTTTGGGCAATAGTCGCCTGTTGGCATCTCTCCACCAAAACCACCAACATCTTTCTTTCTCTAGAATAGCTACAAGCAGATTCCAACCTCGATTTGCCTGACGGACTCACCCAAAAGGAGCCCTCATGGATTTTCAGGCATGGACTGGGCTTTGCCTCTGAGAACTCACAGTAGAGATGTTCTTGTAGAGGAAGGACACAGACCCTGATGCTGTCCCTGCAGCAGGACTCTTGTCGTTTACAGAGCTGGCAGTTCCCTGTCTTCCTTGTAAAATGAAACTCTTGACACCCACTGTGCCTGCCCCCCAGAGCAGATGTAAAGGATAAATTACAAAGCCCCACACAGTCCCTAAATCTCTAAGTGGTGCAAACAGTTTGCAAAAGGTTGATGGTTCAGACCCAACCAGTAGTACCACAGAAAAAGAGTTTGCTGGTCTGTTTCCATGAGTATACCCAATATAAGAACTGAATAGTTTGATCCAAGATACTCTAGAAGAATGCTGATCAAAAGGGGGGTAAATGCAGGACAGAATTTAAAATTTTCATGGATTCCAGACTTTCTGGATCTTTGGAAGCTGGATGACCCCTGAACCTATTACTTTGAGATAATAATCTTGAAACCTTCAACCAAAAATATCAACTGAAGTCTTCTTAAAATCAGTTATTTAGCTTAAATTGTAAAAAATGTCTGCCTTGAACATTATGTTCTTTCAAGATCTTATGGGATCACGTTAACAGAAGCTCAAAAGATTTGATAGGAACCTTAGAGGTTTGTGTTAATCCGAGAGGATCAGCTTGTAACAGGAAGGTGAGAATGTGTGTACCATTTGAATAAAGTAGTTCATGTACGTGTAGAAATGGTTGGTGGAGGTTGTGCTGTGTGTATTCTCCACAACATAAAGAAGTTAAAAATAAAAAGATTGTAGCTAAGCAAACCCTATGGAACTCAGTTCTAATCTGTAACACATAAAGTCACCGTGTGTCAAAATGGCCAGATGACAACAGACTTCTGGTTCTAAACCAGCCCCTCTTTTGAACCAAGAGGTGTCGTTCCCTCCCTTGTTCAGGGATTCTGAAGGAGGTACATACTTTAAAGAGAAAGACGGGTTTCAGGAGACCACCAGGGTGCCTCGGACAGGATTGTGTGCGACAGTGTCAGATTGAAAGACCCCCAAGAGTTTACAAAGGAGCTGTAATTCAAACACATTTCATTGTTTTTTCCTTTCTATTTTTCTCCCATGCTTTAAAATCAAATGAAGCCTGTATGAATGCCTTGTGTAAAATAAAGCTTACATTGCTGTAAAATTAATCTCTTGCTTTTTTGAGCTTGAGATCAAGTGAAAGTCACATTGTGTTCTAGATGGTGATACATGACCAGTTTTTAATAGTCCTAGGTATGGAGCCCTGGTGCGGCGCTGTGGGCTAATGCGTCAGACTGCAAAGTCGTTTGCACTACAAGCTTGGTGGTTCAAGCTCAACAGCTGCTCTTTGTAAACCCTATACAAAGTCACTATGGGTCAAAATTTACTCGATGGCACCTAACAACCACAACAACAAGGGTGTGACGCTGTAGGATCAGCACTTGACTGCTTACCACAAGGTCAGCAGTTCAAACCCACCAGCTGCGCCTTGGAAACCCTATATAGAGTCACTATGAGTCAGAACTGACTCCACAGCACTTAACAGCAACAACAATGATTATATTATTTTATTTTCAAAATAGAAGATATCTCGTGAAATCTTCAGCATAAAAGAAAGTAATGCTTGAGATTGGAGAGGGAAAGAGGAAAGGAGGAATTGGGATCCATGAGTGGATTATCCCAGGGTGAAGAGCACATCAGCTCTCATACAATCTGGTGCCCAGAAGAACGTGTTGAGCATGAGACCTACATTGGGGAAATGTTAAGAATTCCTTCAAAGTGTTGCTAGTTCCAAATACCTCATATAATTTTGCCTTCACTAGCAATTTATTTAGCTGCTGGTGTAGCACTGTAGGATCAGCTCTGGACTGTGTACCACAAGGTCAGCAGTTTAAACCCATCGGCTGCTCTTTGGAAAGCTTACACAGGGTCAGTATAAGTCAGAACCAACACAATAACACTTAACATTAACAACAACATTTATAGTTATAGAGACTTCATTTTGCACACACACATCTTTTTTGTTTTGTTTTTAAGAAAAGGCAATTGAGAAAGCAAAAGGCTTAGTCTCTTCCTCTTCAAACTTCCCTTGTTTATACCCTTCTCGCCATAATATAAAAGTCTTTAAGGTCCCTGGGTGGCACAAATGGTTTGCATTTGACTGCTAACCTAAAGGTTGTCTGTTTGAACCCATTGGTGCCATGGAAGAAATACCTGGCAATGTGCTTCCATAAAGATTACAGCCAAGAAAACCGGATAGAGCAACTCTGCTCTATAACAGCACACGGGTCTCTGTGAGTCAGAACTGACTAAATGATGCTGCTTGGTTTGGTATTGGTGGGGATTTTTTTTTGGTTGTTTTTTGCTTTTGTTTTTTATAAAAGACTTTAAAGGGGAAAACAAATTATAATTTCTTCTGGTCTTATTGCTGCATTTTCTGGTTTCTCCTTTAGGAGTCGGCAAAATGCTAAAGAAGATTAACAAGGCCATCGTCTCCAAGAAGAATAAAGACATTGTAACTGTGGCCAATGCAATGTTTGTTAAGAATGGCTTTAAAATGGAAGTGCCTTTTGTGACAAGGAACAAAGATGTCTTTAAATGTGAAGTCCGGAATGTGAACTTTGAAGACCCTGCCTCTGCCTGTGACTCCATCAACATGTGGGTGAAGAATGAGACTAGGGGTGAGTGGCCCCAGGTCCCTGGGACAACCTGTGGGATTTTATACTTTGAGGATGAAAGCGCTCCTTTGATGTTCAGGCTTGAACTGGTGTTTGTAAGTCCAGTGGCCCCTCCGAGGAGAAGGGCGTGCACTTCAGTGGACTCTGTTCTTCCTCTTGTCTCCAAGCAGGCCCCGGGACTCCATCTCCTTTCCTTCCGCTTTAATGCTGCTCACTGTACCCCTTGGGGATTTTCCTTTCTATAGAAGTGGCATAAAGTAGACGCTTTTCATTCCCTACTATGTCCTTGCCTATAGGCTTTGGTCTCTCTAGATTTTACAGCTCATTCCTTCCTGCTTTTGCATCTGCTATCCCTCTGGTAGCGTAGTGGTTACGAATCGGGCTGCGAACCTAAAGGTCAGCGGTTCGAAACTACCAGCTGCTCCGCGGGAGAAAGATGAGGCTTTCT